TAGTTGTAGAGTTGAGTAACCGGTACACTTTCGTCGATAAACAGCATGACGCCCTGTAAAGATTGTAGTGGTAGTAGTAGTAATACGCACGGAATTCGGAACACCAACCACGCAATATGAATTACAGTCCCGAATCGATTATCAACTATCACGGACTGGATCGCAGAAGCAATGTCCCACGAGAAGGGGACGCGAGGAAAAGGCCAGAAGACAGGCAGTAAGTAGTTCGTTTATTGGAAGGAATGAAGGTGATTAAATAATATATACAAAGGGAGAATTTTGGTTACCTGGGCATCCACCAATTGGATTGCAGCACTGCTTGCATAATGTTGCTTCTGCCTGCATTGTCTAGGATTGGGTGGCACCATCCGCCAATGACGTGTATTCAGAAGCTATGCACGTACTATTGACGTCAGCATTCAAACTTGATTGATCGCCAATGTCCTGAACCTGTAACGCGCGGCTCCAGGGTAGGCGCGATCGTGTAGGCCTTGATCACTTCACGCACCCACCCATCTTTTCTTGTGCTCTGTCCAAACGGAATGACGCATACCCCGGCAGCAAGAACTCAGAGTCAATAAGGCCGAGGGTGCGCCAGGTTTCTGTGAGGGCAATGACCACCGGGGAAGCTCCATGAGAGACGCCTCCAAATCGTCTCCTTTTTTCACAGCACTACGTACATTGGCACACAATATACACACGCGGCTGCGCCTGTTGCTGGTAGCCGAAGGCACGTCCCTCCAGTTTAGGCCGGAGGAGACTCTGTTCTGTACATCATGTGGGCTCCGCCGGAAATGTGGGCACCTCCTCTGGCCTCGAAAATCCCGGATGAAGGGATCTTGTTCACCACTTGCTCGATTCTCATGGATTTCGGTTAATGTCTGCTTCACCTCCTGCCGTTTATCCGCGTCGAGGTTGCGTAGTAGCCTGACGGGCACTCCTTTCAGTCCGAAGGCGCGCTGGAATACAAACTTGGCTTCCTCAATCGATCCGAGCACGATTTTCAGTGGCTTAGGGGCGCCGACCTCCCGGTTGGCTCCTAGTTTGAAAGCCACCTTTACTCGTATCGCCTGGGCCTGTGTTTCCTTGCCAGGACGAAGAGTCTGGCCAGAACTCCTCGAAGCAAGGATATGTCCACGTTAGGCCGGGCTTGCGCCAAGGGTGCCGTGGACTCCGGCATATCGACAGCCGGTAAGAATTGCTGTCTTGAGTGGCGTTCCCATCGCAGGTCTCCTGTAACAGCCGGTCGGGGGACTAGCCTGAGGTTGGAGGCCCCTCGGGATGCCGGCTGGGTCAAAGGGCGTTTCGGTGACCCTGGTCACAGCGTGGCAAAAGGAACTGGGGCGTACGATTTGGTGTTGGACAATGAAGCTGGTGGCTCCGGCGGAGTCTGAATCGGCGCAGAGGATCCAGGCTCGATCGTTGTCGCTGTGCGGCTCTCACTCGAGGTTGGTCGAGCGTTGTTGGTTGCACACCTGCGTCTCGGTCGTCTCTGCTCATCGGCAGTATCAGTCGGCGGCGTCTCGGCTGATGTGGACTGCTGCGCACACTCCTCCAGCCCACTTGCGGTCCGCAAGGGCAGCACTTCTCCGCCTTCACTCGGAGTGCGGAATGTAGGGAGACACCCGTCACGTACAAGTTTCAAATTTGGGGAGTCACACGACTGGAGGGCTGTATGCATGTCTGACGGTAGGCTGGCACATGTAACATGACGCCAACATGGACACATCACATAATAGGGCCTTCGCACGAGGGCCGACGATCTTCTTGCATTTTGAGCACAGGGAGTTTCTCTT